GCGGGGTCGCCCTGCAGCAGCGAGGACCAGAAGCCCCTCGGCGCCGCCGCGCGGCCCGGCGCGGGCGCGGCTGGGCGGGGGCCTCGGCGCGCGGCGCGCGCGGCGTCCTCCGGGCCGCGCCGCGTCGTGAGGGAGGTCGTCGTCGTCCTCGTCGTTGTCCTCGTCGTGCTCGTCGTCGTCCTCGTCGTCCTCGTCCTCGTCGTTGTCGTCGTCCTCGTCCTCGTCCTCGTCCTCGTCGTAGTCCTCGTCGTCGTCCTCGTCGCCGTCCTCGTCGTCATCGTCCTCGTCCTCGTCCTCATCGTCCCCGTCGTCGTCGTCTTCCTCGTCGTCGTCGTCGTCCCAAGAGGTCCCTCCTGTTTTTGTATTGCGCGATTCCTACTTGAAATGTTGAAGTAGTCTCGGGCAAGAAGGAGCCGTTCGAGCAACATGCTAAGACGGGCCAAGACGTGGCTGCCGCCACGCGCCGAAAGATGGGTCAAAAGGCGTCGGGGTAAGGCCGACAAGGTACGGCACGATTGCGAAAACGGTTGCGTTTGAAAGCCGTGTTCTTCTTCACCAGTTCCAGGACACCTCCCTCGCTAACAGGGAACAAGTTGGGAACCAACATGAAGCGTCCCTCTTCTCTCCTGCTGTGGTGTTCCTTCCTCTTTCCTGTTGCTGCCTCGCTATTGCCGCTCTTCCGGGTGCGGGGCCTCTTCCAGTGAAAGGTGGTGCGTGCTGTTGTCTGAGCGGGGCTCGCAGAAGCGAGGCAAGAGCGGAGCTCAGACCCTCTTCAAGATTCGAGAAGGACTTCAAGCACACTGCCATAATGCTGCGCTTGCGTCGGAGCCACGCCGTCGTCGCCAGAGGTCGTCCTTGAGGCAGCAGCTGCAGAGTCTGCCGCACGCTCGCGCCAAGCGTCGACACCTGGCATGCGCAGGCGCTGGCCGCCTGCGTTCGTGCGCGGCAGGACGCCGCAGCCGCCGCCCATCGATCGGGTTGAGGCGGCCATCGTTACGTTCTGCCTTTGGGGCCCTCGAGGAAAAATCCGTCCTTCCTCACTGAATGTATTGATGAGCCTGTTTTCCACTACCACCACCACCATAAGTTGGAGGGGAGAAGGAGGTGGAGGACGAGGAGGAGGAGGAGGACGAAAAGGAGGAGGAGGAGGTGGAGGAGGAGGTGGAGGAGGAGGAGGAGGTGGACCCCCTCCCCCTCCATCTTTTGGTGGTGGTGGTGGAAAACAGGCCCATCATGTATGCCCACATGTGCTCTGAGGTCGGGGTTCGTGCCTCGATCAGGGTCCGGCGATAGCCCCAGTGTATCGGGCCCGCCCGTCCCCCCCCCTAACCCCCTCGGATAACCTGACCTCGTTGGTCGCGCCGGTCCGAAGGGGGTACGCAGCACCGGTGCCCGCGGGCATGCGTGGGGGTGGGGTGGGGCCCACCCCCACCCCTGTCTGGCAGGGGTGGGGGGGCAGGCGTCCCCCCTCTTCTCCCCCACCCCTGCCAGACAACCCGGGTTACCGCCGAAAAAAACGGTCTCCTGGCCAGGGGTGGACCCAAACGGTGTTTTGGCGACTTCATGGGCCGTGTTCGTTGCGATGTCGTATTGCGGCAAAGGCGAGCTGAAGGCAAAGCGAGGGAAAACGAAGACAAAACAAAAACGAGAAACATTGTTTAGGTCGAGCCCTGGTCGAGGCCTCGGGTCGTCCACGTTGCGAAGAGGTCACGTCGTCGGGGCCCATGGAGGAGGGCGACAGGAGGCGGGGAGGCACGATCGGCCACGCGAAGAAGGGTAGGAAGAGGGGGGAAGGCTCCTTAGGAGCGCCCCTGCTTCTTAGAAGCCGCGAAGCTTGCCTGTAGATGTAACGCCTGCGCCTTCTAAGAAACAGGGGTGCTCCTAAGAAGCCTCCCCCCCTCCCCCTACCCCCTTTCTGCGCGCCGCCAAGAGAGATCACGGCGTCGGGGTCTGGGGAGGAGGGCGACAGGAGGCGGGGAGGAGGGAGGAGGGCAGGGGGTCTGGGGAGGGGAGCGCGAGGCTGGCGCCATGTCCAAAGGGATTGGCAGCTTCGGGAGCGCGAGCCTGGCGCCATCTGCAGGGGAGGGCCTCCAGGGCGCGAAGCCGCTGTCATCTGCAAGGGGTGCCAATGGCCTGGAGAGCGCGAGCATGGCGTAATGTTGTCCGGGTAGAACCGAGCATCTTCTCTGGGTGGAGGGCAAAGGGTGAAATCTGAAATGCCGTTTCGATGGATTTTCGAGGCCTGAATCTGCAAAAGGTGCATCACAAGACGAACTGATTTTCAAGGCGCGAAGGCCCACATGGATTTCACCCTGAGCCCTCCACCCTGAGAGAATGCTCAGTAGAACTGTGGTGCGCGAGCCCCGGGGTAACTCATAAGGGATTATGCCCTCGCTTCGGGGGCGCGAACGTGTTGTACTTTGTCGTGTCCCAGGGCGCCCCGAGGAACTGTTCTGAAAGCCCCATTCTGGCGTGGTCGGTGGTTCGCGTTCGGCCTCCCCCTTAGCGCGCGTTCTTCAATCAGTACAACAGTGGAACTAGACTTAAGTCGGGCACGTCCCTCTGCAGGAGGAATATTCAAAACTAGTCAAAACATAGTCTGGGGACGATGTTTTGACTATCCTATGGTATTGCTATGATTTTATATGTTTTGATATACAAAACAATCACACTAAATCCGACTGTAGGAGGACATGCCCGACCTAAAACTAGACAAGAGAACACACCAACTACAATTTGGGAGCTGGAAGCGTTGCAGGGAGCAGGAGCACTTCCGCGGACTGGCGACTTAGCTCTCTACTGTGTTTTCATGGTTTCGCCTACTCCGCCAGCCCACACCATATTATCGTTGTCATGCGCCTGCGTATTCGCAGAGGCTGAGAAGGTGGTCGGTTGCAGTTATTTTCCTGTGCTGTCGCGTCTACCTCGCCTGGGGGAGAAACAGTGGCAGGTTACTTGCAAGGCATCGCTCAACGGAGCCTGCAGCGCCATCCGGGTGGGCCCGTAGCCTGACTGGGCGCGGTTTGGGGCAAGAAGGTTGTTTTTTCTGGCAGTTGCGGATTATTCCGGTGGCGTTCTTGCGCAGTTTCGGGGCCGTCCGGATTTATATCGAAGACATCTTCAGCCGAGAAATCTAATTAGGGGAGCAACGTAAACAGCAGTTCAACACGGAACATCGTGGACCTGTGATGGGGCCCCCGGGGGTGGAAGGTGAGGTGGAGGAGAAAGAAGGGGCGCACGTAAACAGAGGAGCCCGGAAGGCGGATGGAGCAGTGCAGGAGTGATGGGATGAGGGAGATGGACGGAGGCCGCACGCGAAGGACGTCGGATGCTGATTGAAGGAGGCCGGTTGGAGAGATGAGGAGTCGGGGAGATAGAAGGTAGATTTGGATTGGAGGGGAGGCAGCAGTCGCTGGGCAGGCGGAGGACCTGGGTTGCGCACAGACAGCCCCCCGAGGTGGTTCTGGCCTCCCCCTTCTTCTCCCCCTCCCCCTCTTCCCGCCTCCTCCTCCTCCTCTTCATCCTCCTCCTCCTATTCATCCTCCTCCTCCTTCTCCTCCTTCTCCTCCTCCTCTTCCTCCTCCTGCCTGCTCCTCCTCCTCCTCCTGCTCCTCCTCCTCCTGCCTGCTCCTCCTCCTCCTCCTCCTCCTCCTCCTGCTCCTCCTCCTCCCCCTCTCCTCCTCCTCCTCCTCCTCCTCTCCTCCTCCTCCTTCTTCTCCTCCCCCTCCTCCTCCTCCTCCCTCCTCCTCCTCCTCCTCCTCCTCCTCCTCCTCCTCCTCCTCCTCCTCCTCCTCCTCCTCCTCCTCCCCCTCCTCCTCCTCCTCTCCTCCTCCTCTCTCCTACCTCCTCACTCCTCCTCCTCCTCCTCCTCCTCCTCCTCCTCCTCCTCCTCCTCCTCCTCCTCCTCCTCCTCCTCCTCCCCCCTCTCCTCCTCCGCCTCCTCCTCCTCCTCCTTCTCCTCCTCCTCCTCCACAAGCAGGCCGACCTCGCAGACGGCGCACCCTCAACCGAGGACGACCTTCAGAAGGTAGAGGGGGCCCTCGGGCCCGCGACATCCAGTAGGCGATCTCAGTTCTGCTCAAGATGGCGTGCATGCACGCGCAGCAGCAGCTCGGGAAGTTTGTGTTGTGCAGCTCGGCCGCGGAGCTCGGCTTGGTCATCAGGCATCTCAGGTGCAAGAAGTGTTACAGCGAGCACCACCAGGGTGCAGTTCTCGATCGCGGGCGACATCTCGGCTCCGACGGCTTCGGGAGCATCGGACACGGCGACGTTGAGGACCTTGAGCAAGCTAGAGATGGAGCAGGCTATCATCAGATTGGCTCAGATAGAGGGGGGGGGGCAAGCTCAAGCTAAGCACCGCTCCACAGGGGCATCTGGAGAGCTTGGCGCAGCGGCTGATCGATACGATCAAGACTGGTGGGGGCAAGGGCAGGCGAGGCAAGTAGACGGAGTAGACAGCTCGCCAGCACCATGGGATTTCAAGGGAGCAGCACTCTTCGCGCGGATCCAGGCGCGGGAACAGGCAACTGAACACCATCATCATTGAGCGGGGGCACCACATCCATATTCGCGTATGTGTTCGCCTCTCACCTCCGAGGGCACATAGTGTACTGGAGATATGACGGCAGCGGAACTCGTTTCAGACAGATGGGGTTCAGGCTTATCAGACGCTACCTCTCGTTTGTTGCGGACTGCTGCGGCCGCAGAGTTTGGACGATTACCCTTACGTGTCTATTTCATGTGTGACATTATCTCGACGTGATGCCCCGCCTCACTTCATATTTTTCTGTATGGATATCAGAGTGCAGGTGCTTGGCAGGCTCGGGAGCTCTCAGAGGCCAGGTGTCTGCCGCCAGCCCCACCCCCCACCCCCTGCGGCCGCGTCGTCCCCGCCCGTGGCCGCGGACTCGTGCTCTACATGCTCCTGCCCGCGGAGGCCTCCGCGGACCGCGGCTCCGCCCTCGCCGCCTTCCCAGTCTTCCTCCTTGGCCGTATCCTGATTGTTGGGAACCAGCACTCCCTTCCGCTGCGCCTCTACTCTCCTCCTGCTTTGCCCCCCCCCCCCCCCGCTCGCCTCGTCGCCTCCCTCCCGCGTCGTGCCCCTCTCGTCCGTCGCTCTGCTGGAGTGATGGTTCCTCCTCGGGGCGGGGTGGGTGCCTCGGTTGGCCGCCCGTCGCCAGCAACGGCGTGGGCTCGGCACTATGGGGCCAGAGGGGCCCCCACCCCCAGCCTCCGAGGGGCCTGCCGAGTTGCGACTGCCTACGTACCCCTTTTATGTGCGGCAGGCTGCACGGTGCGCGCTGTTCACGACCTCATTGATCGTTCGAGGTAGGGCTTTGCAGGCACGTGTGCACGCGCGGGCAGAGATCGGCGCAGACCACGCGCAATGCCGAGCAAATTTATTATCATTAGCAATCGTATTAGCAGTATTACTATTATCCTTATTATTTTCATTTGTATGTTTATTCTTAGTATTATTATTGTGCGTCCTCCTTCTCCTCCTACTCCTCCTCCTTCACCCCCTCCCCCTCCTCCTCCTCCTCCGCCTCCTCCTCCTCCTCCTCCTCTTCCTCCTCCTCCTCCTCAAGCCGCTCGGGCTCAAGTTCTGAGCCCGAGCCCCTGGGGCTGTCGGGCCGTTGCCTGCTGCTTGAGCGTGGGGCCCGCGTTGGGCCTTGCGAGCGCCAGGGATTCTGCGCTAGGCTGTTTCATGTCCCTCGGATTCCTGCGGAGGCTCATGCACTTCTTCTTCTTATTATTCTTCTTCTTCTTCTTTTTCTTCTTCTTCTTTTTCTCACCTGTTGGACTGGTACCCGAAGATGTCGTTGAGCGGCTCGGGTTCTCCGATGCCGACGTCCTCGTGGTCAGCGACTGGCAGGTCGACTGCTGCGTGCTCGGGCGTTCGGTATTCCTTGTGAAGACCCAGCAGGGCATCCGCAAAGTGCGGCGACCGCCTTCGCCACCGGCATGGCCCCTGGCTGGTGGAGCGGCGGGCCCATCTTTCAAGGAGGTGGAGCGGGCGCCTTCACTTCCTACGCCCCCGCCTGCGACTTCGGCGTTGCCCCGTCCCGTGCTGCGGAAGAACCAGCGCAGGAGGAAGCCCATTCCCCTCAACAAGAAGAAGCAGCAGGGCAAGTGCAAGAAGAGGAAGAAGAAGGACATGACATACTTCAACTCCAAGAAGCGCTACCTTCACGCTGATGCGACTCAGGAGGTGCCGCGGGTAGTGATGGCGATGGTTCCGACACCGCCTCCGCCAGGCGTCTTCGAGAGCACGGACCCCTACGTGAGGAAGATAGACATGATCGGTTCAGCATTCACGACGAGTCCGAGGAGCGCGCCGACTCCTCCTCCTCCGCTAAGTCTTTTGGTGCTACCTCCACTAAGGCGCTAACGTTGGGGACCTTAACCGCCACGGCGCCAGTGACGGCGGGCAAGCGGGAGTTCACGGAGGCGGAGCTGATAGAGAGGAGGAGGCTCAAGAGTATCAGGAAGAAGGAGCGGACCAAGGAGAAGAAGCAGAAGGAGGAGGAGGAGCGGATTCTCTTGAAGCAGCGGATGATGGCGTCAGCGTCAGTTGGCGAAGGCAGCCGTTGCGAGTATTTCACGGTGGACGGTGAGTTTGAGCAGTCTTGTGAGGCAACCGGCGACGAGGGTGGCGGTACCCTTGAATCAAGGCCCTTGAAGCCGACGGTCTTGGACAGCCTGCAGCAGGCGTATCGGAAGGTCTAAAAGGAGGTGATGTGCGGTCTACTGGTGCTGGTTATGCTGGTGGCCCTGAAAGTGTCAGTCTTTCGGCTGACGATTGAAGAGCTACTGATGTTTCTGGTGCTGATCATGCCGCTGGCTCATCTTCGTCTCGGAGCGACCCAGAGATGATCTTTTGGAGGAATGCGGCACGGGTGGAGGAGCTGCTGCAGTGCATTTCCGACGGCACGATGTCGAGCGAGGCCGCGGGTGAGGCTTGGCGGGTCTTGCTGTACGGGACGGTTTCCTGAACATTATCCTCGGCCAGCTTCTCGGATCCAGGTTATGTGTTCCGTTGCATCTTTGGGGGACCTCGCCTGTCCCCAAAATTGGTGTCTTTTCTTGTGCCCGACGCGGGCTCGATGCGGACTCGACGCGGATTTGGCATAGATTCGACGCGGATTCGACATGGATCCAGCGCGGCCGACATGGATTCGACACGGATTCGGCGCGGATAGGGCCGCGACGGGACAGACAAGGTCCCCCGAGGATGCAACACAATATGTGGTCGTGGATCTCGATTGCACTGCCGGTGTGAGGTCGTCTGCTTCTTTTTCTCTCTCGGACGCCTTCAATTAGGGCCTCGTGTGCCCGCCCGTCGCCGCCTGCCCTCCAATCCCCGCGGGAGCCTTGCATGGCAGTCGCCTACAGCAAGAACAAATCCTCCTCCTCCGTCTCCTCCTCCTCCTCCTCCTCCTCCTCCTCCTCCTTCTCCTCCTACCCCTCCTCCTCCTCCTCCTCCTCCCTCTCTCCTCCTCCTGACTCCTACTCCTATAACTACTTCCTACTCCCCTACTCCTACTCCTCCTCCTCCTCCTCCTCCTCCGTCTCCTCCTCCTCCTCCTCCTCCTCCTCCTCCTCCTCCTCCTCCTCCTCTCAACAGGCCCACCGAGTAGTCCCAGCTGGCTTTAACAGGCCCCAAGAGTAGTCCTGGGCGGTCTCGACACCCTGGCGCCGCCTCCCGCGGCGCCCTTGGGGTTGGGGTGCTGAGACCCCTCCGGACTACTCGACGGGCCTGTTGAGGCCAGCTGGGACTCTGCAGCGGGCCTGTTGAAGCCAGCCGGGGCTACCTCGGGGGGCCGTCTGCGTGCGACCCGAAGCCTCACCATGGAGGGCGACACAGAACGGAACACATCCCAACCAGAGTTTCACCACCGACGTCCGAGAGGCCGAGGGCGCAGTCCTCACAGAAAGGATGGAGACGTTCGTGTTTTATGTGCTGTCGAGCCCCTTCGGACGGGGTTCGAACCTATCCTGGGACTTCCTAGGAGTCTCTTGGCGGCCTCGGGGGTCTCCCTGGGAGCCTTTCAGGAGCTTCCGGGACCATCCTGGGCCACCTTTGGGCTCTCTTGAGGCTTCTCTGGGCTGCTTCTGTGTCAGATTGGGGGCTGGGTTGTGATCCATTGATCCTCGCTCTTGGGCTGGTCTTGGAGCCCCTCATGGGGCGTTCCTAGGGCGTTCTCGTAGGGACTCCTTGGAGCCTTGTACCACGTTTGGGCCCCACTTAGTGGCGTCCTGAGCGATTTGGGAGCCAGATTGTGGCCTCGTGAGCCTCGTCTTCATCCCTCTGCCATTCCCCGCCTCGTCCTCCTTCTTGCCTCATCCTTCGTCCTCCCTCCTCCTGTCTCGTTCCTATTTCCTTTTTCCCTCTTCCTGCATCATCCCTGCTTGATTCATCCCTCCTGCCTCCGCCTTCCCTCCTCCTGCCCCCCTCCTCCCTCCCTTTCAAGGCGATCGCTGAGTCCAGTCCCGAAGCTGCCGCTGGAAAAGCTCAGCGCGGCGCCCGCGCCGGCGGGGGGGGGGGGCGCTGTCACCTCCGTCCCCCCTCGTCGTCGCATGGTCGGCACCGCCATCTTTGTGAAGGACGAGAGGAGGGAGGAGGAGGAGGAGGAGGAGGAGGAGGAGG